AAATAGGGCGGTAATTGTTAGGGCCGGCACGACTACCTTTTTTAGGCACAGGCTGTACGTTGGCCAGCTTCCATGCAACCGGTACTAGACCCGTCTCTAAGGAAAGGCGAAACAGACGTGTCAAGATTGGAGACAACTCAGGCGCACAGGTTTTTAAAACCAGGGCTGGGATTCCGTCGGGACCACTGGCCTTGTTCACGTCCAGATCGCGTAACGTCCTATATACCTCCCTCTGTCGAATGCGAATTTGCGACATATTCGTCTTGCATACGCTATTAACAGAAGGAGGCAAGGCGCCACCAGTGTCAAGACGCGAAGACTCCGCAAATAGAGAAGCAAATAGATTTGCTTTCTCTACCGCAGTGTGAGCCAGCGTCCCGTCAGACCTCAGGAGCGGAGGAAGTGAGGAGCGACAGAAGTTCGATTCAACCGCCTTAGCCAGGGACCAAAAAGCTTTACTTCCCGCTGGGTAGGAAGCTAGTTTGTTCCCTATACGGCCAATATGGTTAAATCGAGCCATCCGTAATGCCTTTTTGTATGACTTGGCAGCCCGATTAAAGGCTCTCTTCTTTTGATGAATGTCATCAGCCCTACGGCGCCTGGCATCCGCCCATGCCAAGTATGCCGCCTGCTTTAGCGCTTCGGCACGTCCGCAGTCGGCATCGAACCAAGGACGGGTCCCACCAGAGGATGCCACGTCCGAGAATGGAATGTAGTATTCCATGCCCTGGCGCAGCACCCCCGTTACGGCTTCCGCACAAGCTGACGGGTCATCAGAAGAGAAGAAGCAGACAGGCCGCCAAGGAGTTTACTGAGTAAAGTTGATTTTTTAATTAGGTTGATTTTTTATTAACTTAAAAGTCCGTATGACTAATACTTAATAGGTTGCACACTTACACAGCGTGCGCAACGGTAGGTCCACGGCTAGACTATAACACCATTACAATAAAATAACTATAACCCATAACGTCCCTAAACAGTTATATAATACATATACTTACTTAATTAGGTATTCAATTTAGATTGTTTTACCAATGCTGAATTGATGATGCCAATGATTCAGTAACAAAACTTTCTTACTATATGTATATGTATTAACATATACATATATGTATTAATATATACATATAGTAACATGTTATTATTTATTTTTAGGGTAACCATGGAACAAATCTTATGTATAATTTGTCATCCAAACATCCCACTGAACACAATATAGTAACTGAGAGGAACCGTTTGATGACTGATATCACAAATAAAGAAAATGTTAATACCGACGAAGGGGCTAGTACAAGCACATCTGGTGACCCTGCTCCTTATAGCAATAGAATTAATTATTTAAAAACCCAATGTATCAATTTGGTGACTGTACATGGTAGACCATTCTCCATGATGGACGACTTAGCTTTTAGAAACATAATTTCATTGACTTCCGTCACTCAGAGAGAAGCCCAATGTTTAAATTCGCATTCAATAAAACAATTTATGTCAGTGGGTGGGTTACCTATCAGTACTGATAGTTATTTTTTTATGAAATAGTTATTTTTTACTTTTTAGTTTTTACTTTTTGTTTGCTATTAGTTTTTTTAATTTATGATGTCGGTTTTTTAAACGCAGTTTTTTTATCATTTTGCCACTTATAATTCACATAGGCGCAAAGTTCTAATCAATACAAATTATACAAGCCCAAACACTAGGTAGTTACTATAAACCGTTGACGAGTTCTCTTAACAATTACAGTTCTTCATCATCAGACCCTTAATGATAGGCCTACTCCATCTAGGTGTAAAGTTCTCATCAATACAAATCAATCAAACCCAAACACAAGGTAGTTAATATAAACCGTTGAGGAGTTCCTTTGACTGTCTGTCGGCTCCAGACCCTTTTCAAATTGTAGTATTTAAAAATCCTAATTGAATAACAATAGACATATTACTTCCCCTACAATTTTCGAAAGTTCTCCTCGGTTTTTTCCTAGGCTTCCATTATCAGATCCTGACCTCAATGAAAAGGACCATCTCGGGAGTATACCTTTTCAATCAAAACAAGTATTCTGGAAATCCGCGCCCACCGCGGTAGAAATAAAAAACTTTAGGCATTTAACCAATTTTTGACAAAAATGTCGTGAACATTATATACCTATAAGGTAAAAAAATATTATAACACACTACGTTATAATAAACTATAGTAATGAGCTAATAACATAAAAAGTGTAATAACATAGTGTAAAATAATACGCACGCAGCGTCTGTGTGTGAGCGTGTCTACTGGCGTTACATCGCCGCCGCGTGCCGTACGCGTCGACAACGAGTAGGTAAGATACCAGTACTTAATACTCGTTACGTGTCAACTAGAAATATGTTATTATAAGATTACATAAGTACCTACATATACTTACTTGTTTCTATTATTATAAATTTTCGTGCGTTATTTGACATTGTTATCCCAATTCAACTCAGCACACTATAAAATATAACGTGAGACGCCTGTGATTGTGTCCAGAAAACACGCCAAACTAATGCAATGCGATAAAATAGGATAGATAAACTAGCGCGGTCAATATCTCTCTCATATCTTTATTATTCAGGTTAGGGTACCGGTACCGAAATATACCGGTTTTCATTTCATACCCAAAAATAACGGTACCGAAATTAAATTTCGATACCGAAATTAAGCGGTAACCTTTATTTAAAGGTATGACGTCATACCGCAATTTAAAGGTATCGTAATTTTTCGGTTATTCAGTCCCTGGTTTATTTTACTAAAAATAGAATCGCTAATCCCGCAACTTCTAACTTAGAAGACTCTCTCACTGACTGGCAGTCAAATAAATATGTAATTCATATTTACTTTAAATACGAAAAGAAACATTCGAAAAAGTCTCGTATGTTTTAGGGCGCACCGTACCATATAAAGTTCAAAAGTACCTATTTTGGGAACCGCAAAAATTCTGTGGTTCAACCCTTCAGTACTCATGAAATTACAGCAGTATTTTTATCCGTGTACAGTTTTTTTCTCACAAATATTTAGGTGACCTTTTAGTGAGGTTTGTCAACAATAACAAATATTTTCTTTTCCCAAAACACGTAGGTTGGCAACATACTTATGAGTTTTTTTTTTTCAAAGAAACGTGAATTTTCTACATTTTTTTCTGCCACAGCAACATTCGTTTTTAGGGGCATGTATCCAAAAGGGTTACGATCAGCTGTCTAAGTAATGAATCAATGCAAAAACCAGAAATCTTACCGCTGTACTCAAAATAATTCAATTCATCCAGAGCCCATAAGTGCCTACAGCTGAGCAAACCCTCTTTTCACACGGAGAAGATTTCAGCATTAATCACCGGGTTTGCGATTTCAAACTTTTAATCAGAAATTATAAGTTCAAAGCCATGCTTTCACCGTTTGTTTGGATAATGTCTAAATAATCTTAGAAAGTATATAAAACTCTTGCTACTTACTTGCCGTTGGTAGGTCTTGAACTAGCACTCTCATGCATGAGAAGCGGGCGTCTTGAACCTCCGGTCCACCACTAGATATTACTTAACCCAGCCCTTAGTAATCATTTTCGGTTACTAAGTAATACTGTAAGCAAAAAACTACGGCGGCATGATATTTTGGAACTAAATACACTCGAAATAACAACTTTTTACGGAATAGGCCGGCAAACGAGCAGACGGTTCACCTGATGGTAAGCAATTGGCGCCGTCCATGGACACACGCAACCCCAGAGCAATTGTCACAAGTGTGTTGCCGGCCCTTTGGGGGCAATGCACTTATAATTCTATTATAATATGTTTTTTTTAAGGGGAGAATATCATCGAATGACTTTTCCCACCTGAGTAAGGCGGGAGGGAGTGTCAGGCTTATACTGACTAAAAACCATCCCGTTCCTACTCTTGCGTTTCGAGCCAGAGCCCCGGTAACCCGTTAAGTTCTCTGCGACTCCGAATCGGCATCAGTCCTATTGGGTCCCATCCGTGGTGGCCTGATGGCTCTTTGAGGCGCGCTTACGGTGGCCGGAGATCGTCCCACGATCTCCGACGCCCGGGGTGTCCTTCGCGATGGCTGGGTTGTAAGGAGGCAGCGCTTCGCTGCCTCGCGCGTCCGGCCTCCTCCTTAGCTAGCATGACTGCTTCGCAAATGGAGGAGACAGCATCCTAGTCCCCCTCGCTCCGCATCATGACCCGTACTAGGGCCGGACGTTAGAGGTCGCCATCGCCTATCACGTCCCTTAGGGCACGGCGGTGCTTAGCCCACGCAGGGCATTCCCCCACTGTGTGTTCCACCGTGTCCTATAATAATATGTTTAATATTTAAAACTTTTCTACCAATACAGAACCAGGATTTTCTTAAACATAGTAATACTGGAAATAAGATAGCAACGGTTTGAAGTCTATAAATAGGATTTGTTGATTATATTTTTTATATTATTCCTCGTGGCAGCAAACTTGTGTTCTTGAAGGTTCTCCTTTCAGCCAATTAGTGTTTACATTCGTTCTTTCTTCAATTATTTCTCCTATAAATAGGTTTTATGTAAACAACAAACAAGTTTTATATAACAACTGCTTTTTACTAGATAGAAAAAGTGATCAATGATATAAGAAACGAGCGTATTTTTATTTAAAAGGCCGGCAACGCACCTGTTACTCCTCTGGTGTTGCGGGTGTCCATGGGTTGCGCTGATCGCTTACCATTAAGTAATTCATCTGCTCGTTCGCCTCCGATTCCACAAAAAAAAATATTTTTTTCACAACAAATCAAAAAATTAAATAATTCTTTACTCAACTCAAGAAATTGAGAAAAAATCCTTTGGTCTACTAGCTTCTCACACTAAGAACCACTCGACAAAGAGACCACCAAAAAATGTTTCAAAAAAAAAGTAGATTTTTCGAAAATACCGAAAGCAAATATATACAAAAATTTTATCAGTTTGAATTTTGAGTCCAATTATTGATCTCTTGGAAAAATATGATTGTTAAATATATCTTTCATTTCCAGGACTGGACGCTGAAAGTGAGATTTGTACAGAAGAGGGACGCTGGCATCTATGAGTGCCAAGTGTCCTCCCACCCTCCTACTAGCATCTTTCTAAGACTTGACGTCGTTGGTAAGTGTTTAAATATATCATTGGTCTTAATTGTGTATTGGAAAATGAACTTTAAATCTTATAGAATTGTGGTGAATTTTGTGTAACGTTAAATTCTCGATAATATCTTAAGTTATCAGCTACAAATGACTAACAGAAACTTCTTATGCACGCTACACACTTTCCATTTTATCTGTACAGTCGAACTGTACAGTTAGATCTAGGTCTATACACGTGTGTAAACCTTCGAGTACAATTGTGCAGTTCAATTATATGTTTTACGCCTTACGATTTAACTGTACAGTTTGACTGTACAATTAAAACTGTACAGTTCTTAAGTCTGTTAGTCTTAAGGTGTAGCCTACATTACATGTAGAAACAAGTTCTGTTTCGAACCTGTTTCTTCAATAAAACACGGAACACTCATTACCTTACACATTTTTAAACAAAAACAAGATTTTCTTTTAAAACCTTAGCTTAGTAATACTCGTAAATAAGCTAAAATTCTAAACTTAAGCTGCCTTAAGCAATTCAGTTTAAGTTTAGGCTTTTAGAAGAGTAATAGGCTTGGCAGTTTTTAGCGTTCCGTACGCAAACGATAAAAACGAAAACTCTATTACTAAAACTTCGCTGTCTGTCACCAGGCTGTATCTTATGTACCGTGATAACTAACCATGATAGTGCCAACTCACACATGCTTTTTTGTACGAATCGCTAAGGAGTGCTATTCCAGAGTCTTTGTTTCAAGAAAGGTATAACTGGGTATCTTTAAGTCTCAAGGGAATAGGTTGCTTATAGGTAGGTAGGTGTTCCTTTGTCAGCCACATCATGGCTTATTTAGACGAGAAAGTGGCCAAATCCACCTGTTAAGAATAAAAAATATAACTAGGCAATTGAAATTCGGATTGATAATGTATATATCCTTACTATCCTTACTTCCTTACTAATATTATAAATCGGAAAGTGAGTTTGTTTGTTTGTTACGCTTTCACGCCGTAACTACTAAACCGATTGCTTTGAATTTTTGACGTAAAGGTCGAAGTCTGGATTAAATAATACGGTACTGTTTTATCCCGGAAAAATTGATATTCCCGAGGGAAAACAAAAGTATTGGTATAGATGGCGCTGTGTGTATTGGTATATATCACATGGGCTACTTTTTATCCTTAAGTGACGTGAGCGAAGTCGCGGGTAAAAGTTAGTTAGACATAAAAACAAAATAATATGATAAATAAAAATGAGTAAATATATTATGTTTGTTTGGTGTAAAAGCCAAATTACTAAATAAATCTTATTAGCTAAAGAAAGTCTTAATTTATATAAAACAATATAGCTCGATTAAGACTTTGACTGCCAATAAAAAACTGTTGAAGGTAAATCCTCCGCAAACGCCGGTCACCGGTGACCCCCATGGCGTTTAACGTGTTAATAATTTGTTGGCGGACTGTCTCGTTGGTTGATAGGTCGCAAGTGCGACTGCCTGGCAAGAGGTCTGTAGTACCTATAAGTATTATTGGGTTTTTCAGTAGTGCATGTAGTCTGGAAATGTTCCCAGTTTATGACAATAGGCTTACCCCTTCGAGGATAAAAGGCGTGATGTTATGCTTATGTAATATTAATAATTTAATGTCCCATAAAATCTTTTAATGCCGTTTATTGTTCAAAAGATTAAACGAACGAGTGAAACAGAACGCATCGTGCGCGACACCGACTCGGACTTAGCCGGTTTTTATTTTAAGTGTTGAGTGAACACACCTGGTTCTGCGAATTTTGCCTTAGAGACACATTACGTCTGCTTGTAACGTTGTTACATGAATATAATGGCGACGTTTTATGGAGTCTTTATTAAACTTATACTGTATCTCGTTAAGCTTGCTAATTAGTGAATGTGAGTCGGTAAGGGTTATTGCATTTTATTACGTCTGCCTTTGGGATAGGGTTGTTGATCGGGGTGACGTGATTCTTTTTCTAATTTTAAACTAATTTATTCAATACTAGGTTCTGTGAGCAACTTTGCTCGCGTTTCCCTGGGATTAAAGTGACCTAGGTATATGTTATTACAGACCATAATCTACCCCTATTACAAATTTCATCCCGATCCCTTTACCCGTTTTTGTGTGAAAGAGTAACAAACACACACATACACACACACGCATACATCCTATTTCCCATTTATAATATACTAGCTTTTACCCGTGGCTTCGCTCGCGTCACAAAAGAATAAAAAGTAGCCTATGTGACATATACCAATACACACAGCGCCATCTATACCAATACTTTTGTTTTTCCTCGGGAATATCAATTTTTCCGGGTTAAAAAGTACCCTATTATTTAATCCGGACTTCTAACTTTACGTCTGGAAAAATTCAAAGCAATCAGTTGAGTAGTTACGGCGTGAAAGCGGAACAAACAAATAAACAAACAAACTCACTTTCAGATTTATAATATTAGCAATACAAGGTTATTCTTTAAAAAAAATGGTATATTATTTGTGTAGTTATTCTTATGTTTCTTTAAGCACTATAGAGGTATTACATTATTTTTTAATTGATTATAAAAATACCTGAATCGCTAAACAATTGGCTGAGCCAGACTATAACAATAGATAAGCAAAGATCGTATCGATTTTTGAATCAACAACACACACAGAAGAAAATTGTATACAGAAAAAAATAAATACAAGGAATTTTGAATAACACATTCTCATCATCGATTTTCATTTTTCGCCTCAATTTCCAATCCAATACTTTAGCCGAAACATTGAAATATTTTATATACTAATTTATAATATGACTAAGCACAAAATGTCAGTACTTTTCGACCCCAACTCAATATTAATATGTAAATAACTGGACCTTAAACGCAATGCCCACCCGCCATATTAGAGGGACAGGGTTACCCGTGAAAATAATTAAAATCTTTTAAATTTTACTGCGGCAACACTGGAATACGGCTTCATTTCGTCGCCAAATCTGTTCGCTGTTTAAAAAAATATGTGAGGATTTTTTTTTATTGTAGAAAAAAAGGTTTTTTGTTTATTTTTTTATGTTAACGTGATGGCAAGGATTATGAGATGAGTGCAAAGCTCAGTTACTTGTTAATTTTAAAACCAACGTGAGCATTTTAATTTGTTTGAAGATATTATGTTGCTTTTTATTAGTCTAGCTTTAGAGTTGAGATTCGTTGACTCCAACCACTCATTTTTGTGTCTGGACTTAGTCTGAGGTTATAAACTAAAGGGGTAGGCAGAGATGTTATGTTACGAGTTCCATATAATACGAAGTGAAACCATTTCTACACTACACCGGACACGATTTTAGACTCCGCGCAAGTATGTACTGACAAAAATTTGAGACGTCAGAAAAACCCTTATAATATTATTTCATAGGTACTTGACATTTACATTTTTAATGGGAGTTTACAGTCGGTAAACGTGCAGACGGATAACCTGATGGTAAGCAATCGGCGTCGACAATGGACACCTGGAACACCAGAGGCGTTACAAGTGCGTTACCGGAGTTAAGAATTTGAGAATTGTTTCGAGTTCAGTGGGGAGATTTGGGAGGCGGCTGACACGCAACCGTTGTTGCGCGTCGGTTTTCTGAGAGGCCGTGGTATCACTCCGGTCGAACCAGCTCATTCGTGTCAAAGCATGGCTCTCCCACATTTTATAAACAACCAAATGACCACCATTCAGTTACAAAACAAATCTAATATAAAAAAAAACAATAATACAAAGAGTAATGTTATTCCAAGAAACAATATTTTCCATCGCCTTATTAAACGCTATTGTTTCCATAAAACAAAAGAACGAAGCCATGTTACCAAAGCGTTGAGACTTTAATATCAAATCGAGAGCAATTCGGGAAACAATAATATTTATTTCATTAATTAGAGTAGATGTTTTGTTTTAATAGGTACTTTTATTTTTATAGAAAAGAGAAATAAGGGTATTGTTCAACTTGCCTTGCACACTATGGCTAAGAACTCAAGGCGCGAATTTCTTCAACGCCTTTGTTGAATACAGTTATCTGTATTCATACTTATGTATGTAAAAAATCAAAGCCAGTGGAGTCTGGAAATGTGCCCGATATATGGCAATAGGTTCACCCATGTAATATGAGTCTCTTGTAATAGGTATGTCTTGTCCCATGTACATGGGACTCATAACATAAATAGTGAAAAGTGGGTGTTACATTGTACAGTGGCATTAAGCGCCGAAATGTGCAACTCTGCCTACCCCTTTGGGGATAAAAAGGCGTGATGTTATGTTATGTTAAATCAAAGCCTTTTCCACGGCGCGTTTTACGCCTGCTTCAGTTGCGATTGCGGCTCCCGCTGCACCGGCAAGCGAGGACCAAGAGCCTGCAGCTGCGGCGGCTAGCACTCGCGCGCTCTGCAATCGGTTGATCGCAATGGAACTCAACTGAGTACCAAGCACGAATAACTATCGCATTCGTAACGTAATAGCATCGAGTGGGTTTGGCGCTCTGATTGGCCGGCTCAAGTAAACCAGCCAATCAGAACGCTTAACTGGCTCGATAATGCTACGATACGAATGCGATAGTTATTCGTGCTTGGCCGTCTGATGGTTTAACCTCCCGCTCGTCTTGTAATAATTAACCACCAAGTTTGTGGGCGATAATCGCAACCGCAGCGGCCGTGGAACCGCAGATAACTGCAGTCTCGCGAGTTTTGAATATTCCGCGTCCATTCCACCACCGCGGTTAGCGTGGGAGAAGATCCGCTGTGAATCCTTAGCCTAAGCTAAGATTTAAATTTAGAATCTGTAAGTTGACATGACGTAATACACAGACTGGTAAGAACCCTGTTGAAGGTGTAAGCCATAAAAGCCTGACATGTAGATTGCGAAAATTTATAGTCACATTTAGACTGCTCAAAAATAAAAAACAGACGTATACCTTTAACTTAGAAGATCTTATTATTGAAAAACATTACAAGTACAAAAATATTAATATGCCAGTAACTTCAGAACTTGAAGTTTCGGATAAAATTAAAAC